CAATCCACTGTTCTGCTGCTCATGGAGGAATTCATGAGCAGGGGGATATTTAAAGGGATATTTAAAAAGAGCCCCCATTGCAATCTACCCTAAATTTGTCATGTACTTTTTTTGTATTATTGCAATTTTAAAAGTGGATAACTACTGAAACTATTTTAATTTGTAAGTTTTGAATTAAACATACTCAAGTTTTTCTAATTATGTGGGCTTATTGTTACTGTGAATAATTCAAAGTTGATATAAGTTCTTTGAGTAGGCTCATTCCTTTCATAACATTTCAGTGATGTTCTTAACTTAAATTATAAATATTCTTGAGTATTATATAATTTTAATAACATTTATCAGTGTTACTAAAAGTATAGTAGATACGTCAGTGACATTTCCTGCACTACCATTATCCCTTCCTAAGATGTTTCAACTTAAACGCTGCTTCTCAGGTGGGTTGTGTATTACATCCAGTGTTGCCCCCACCACCCACCCCAGTCTTAACTATGACAGGGATAGACACCTAACCCAAGGTTGAGCCATTCAGATTCTCTCATGATAGGAAGTGACTATAGTCAGATGGTAAAAGAACTTTATATTCAGGCACATTGACAGTCAAGTATGGGGTGCCATGATGGGCCACATCCTGATGACTAAGAAAATGAAGTCAGTCTGAGAGAGAAGTGAAAAATTTGAGTTGATAAACAGAGACAAGCAAAGATAGGGGGATATGAAGCTGCATCAGAGGTAAAGGGAGTAGCCCTGGTTACTGACTCCCTGTTTCCCTTTCTAAGCTGCCTCAAGTCTATCTGTATTTCACTTCCTGTTTTTTGGATGCTTAGGAGACTAAGTGCTGTATCCCCATCATAATTAAATTATACGTATGACCTTGTGAGTTCTCAAACAAATATAACAGTGATATTCAGAGCCACTCTGTGCTGTTGTGAAATAAGACAGAGTAAAGAGCACTAGGCTAACACATGCAAACACACACACATGCCCACACTGAAACATCTTCCCTTCTAGTTAACTTGGGTGATTACTGCTTCTTTATTACTATGGCAACTCTAGACTCATAGTAGTTCTAAGACTTCCTTAATAAAAATGACAAAGATCTAATATCAGCACTCGAACTACAACTGGACTTTCTTCCTTAAATCTTAACTCAAGGTTAAGCTTACACTTATAGGCTGTTCTCAACTCTTTAAGAAAATTCTCATGGCTCCTCTGAAGTGAATCCTCCATTGCTCCTTAAGCCAAATAAATAAAACAATTTTGGATCAAAGGTTGTTCTGTCATCTTGGGCTGGTATATTTTGATAGTTGCATACATATCTAATTTTTACATATTAGTTTAAAAATTGAAAGGCTATTATTTTTCTTAGAGAAAGTTCACCAAGCTCCTACAAGTTCATACTAAAAAATCCTTAATCATTGCCAAGAGGAACACACACACACACACACATCAAAAGCTATGCAAAAATAGTAAATGTTAATAAATGAACTTAAAAGATGTGAACAACGCTGATTACTCTATAATCATATAGTAACAAATTTAACACAGTTCAACTAATAAAAGTGACAGACAAATTAAGAAAATAAAAGGATATTATTTTGACATGTGTTTTAAAGGACAAAGACAATATAAACTACTGATAATTATTCTATGAGAAAAACTCAAATGGAATACATGTGAATTAAGAAAACCTGAATATAAAACAACAAAAAAGATGCAATTCAAATATATTTTATGATTATTTGAAATTAGGAGTGATTGCTTTCTCTTTTCATAGATGCTAAAATATCCTCAGTTAACTAAATTCAGTTTTGTTCCTACCATGTACACATGATGAAATCAAAAGCACTGAGATTTATTCATTAGAAGGATTATTTTTGAACAGAAATATTCAACAACTACAGATAAGATATTCTTATCATGTAATTCTCCTGCTCTTCAGGATAGTTTGACAGTTTTTCTTCTCAGAGGAGAGAAATAATGCACCAAACTATGGAAAGAGGGGAAATGGAGCAGAGGGGAAAAAGAAAGAATGATCAAGAGTACATGTTCAAGAATGAGAACATGACAGGATACGTAACTTCCATAGGCTGAGGTAGAGAGCAAGAACAGACTGTGCACACAGGGGAGCCATCTCATGGGTGTGCATAATTGATCAATATTGGGAATTCTCACCACAGAACACAAATTTCATCTATCACCCCTTATTTTATTTTCAAAACTTACCTCTACTAAACATTATCAGTAACAAAAATAAAGTTCTATTCAAGTACAAGAGAAAAAGATACTCAATATTATGTACAAGAATCTAGGCTAGGCAATGTTAATAAAACCAATAAAATACTTCCTATTTACAAATGAAAATAATTTTATTAATATTGTATAAATAAAACAGCAGAGAAGACCAGACAAGAAGGCATTAATTTGGCATAAGGAATCTGAAGCAGGACTCAATAGATGAGAATAATTTTAAGGAAAGAAAACCACAAAAAGATCCAGTGCAGAAGAAAGAGTCGTATAAAAAAAAAGAGATGTGACATGTGTGACTCACTGAATATTAAAGGAACGTCTTCTATAGTAAAAGGCCAGAGACTAATTGAGTCTGAAAAGGAAGGTTATGACTAAATTGTGAGGGATACCAAATGTTGTTCTGGAGTACAGCAGAGAATTCTAGATTTGTTTGATTGTTCAGCCTAGCAGAAATATGGAGGACTATACCTTAACAGGGTCAACAAGTAATGGCATTTACAAAACAAAACTCAAAACCAAATAATCTCCCATTTGCTATCTTCATTTTATTACGAAAAATCATTTTAACAGAAAAGGAGGAACATTAAATCAACATAGTTTTAAAAATTGGGTATATTAAAATTTATTGGATGTAGAAAAGTGAAGAAATAAAATTATACTCTGCTAAGTAAACACAAAGTGAACTTTGAATATATAATTTGTTCTAATGCTTCATTTTTTAGCATAGTTACCTTTTAAAAAATGCAATAGGACTATTCCTAATGCTCTTTCAACTCAGTTCAGAGTTTCTGAGGTAAACTTAGGGAAGCCCATGAAAAAAACCTCTTAATTACGAGGATATTTCTCCAACCTTCTCTGCAGCGCTGGGAAGAAATAAGAAACAGACCAGATGTCTGACTATGGAAAATTCTGGAAAAGGGGGCTGGCTACATATGTGGGGTTCTGACTGACCAACATAGAGCAGTTAAAGGTCATCTGATAGTAATTCCTTAGAACTTAAAATTGTCACAAATTATCATTTAGAAACCAATAATGTAAACCTCATAACTTCAAATAATTCAGTCCTTCTTTGCTTTCGCTACTGAAAAACAGAGCTAAATTTGTGTCCTAATTTTAGCAACAGTACAGGATCATCACTAACATTACTACATTACTAACTTTATTCCATGTTTAGTTTAGCATGTCTTTGTTCACTATTTATGATTTTCTTTGTAAGTCTGTAATCATGTCTGGAAAACATATACATATATAATAGAAAAAAAAATTTTGGGTAACAAGGAAACATTTAAGATTTATTTTTCAATAATGCTTATTGAATTTTTTTCTTATTATAATTATAACATGTTATAGGGTCACTGCACTAACCATTCTTTTGACCTAGGACACTCTTCTAGTAAACTGCATGGCTTATCTCCTTTAAGTCTTTGCTGAGATGTAACTATTTTATTGAATAATTTAAAATTAATTACCCTTCTTTAAAACTGCAACCTAATCATGACACTGCTATAATCCCAATTCCCTATGATGTATTAGTGCTTATCATTTTACACAGCACTTGTACCACCTTCTAATGTGCTATCTCATTTAATTATTTATTTTGCTTAGTGTTTATTTGTGTTTTCTCTTTGATAGAATATAAGGTCCACAAGGCAGGGATCTTTGTTATTTACTAATATATTCCAAATATCTAATAGCACTTGGTCTAGAGCAAGAAGACAACCATATGACACTATTCTAAAAACTTTATATGCATTATTTAAAATTTAATTATCACAAGTCCTCTATGTGGGAGTATTATCATTGACTACATCCTACAGAAAGAAACTAAGCTACAAAACGGGTAAGTAACTCACATAGGTCATATAAGCTAAGAAAGTAGTGAAACAAGGATTTAAATTCAGGTTATTAACTATTATTGTCTCCACTAATAGAGACAGATTGTGCAAAAGCAATTAAGACAATAATAGAACAGGTACAGAAAAATGTCTACAGTAAATAGGAACTGAAAAGCAAATATATATATATATACATATATGAAATTTGCTTATTGTATGTCTGCTAAATCCAAGGAATAGCACCAAAAGCCATCATTTACTTATAAGATATCAACTAGATATTGATTACCCCTTTCTGAAGCTCATGAATATTTATAAGTCAAAACTTCTTTTTAAAGAAATAAGGCTTCAGACAACCATACTTTTCAAATCTCCTAATACAGGTGCATGTATTAAATCTTCCCAACAGTTAATTTATCTTCTTTGTCTTCTCACTTCATTTTAGCTGCTACTGAGTAGAAGATAACAGCTTCATCAATTCCCAGTTAAGTATTTCTTTATATTTTCTCAGTTAAGGACTGTCATGTTACACACTATTTGTAACTAAGCAAAGTCACTTAAAGAAATATCAATCTTATAGTTAGAAGGAGATTTTAGATATCACTGCTTAGCAAACATACAACCTAAAAAAGGATATATAGCAGCCCTAACAGATGGAGATTGCAAGGGCCAGAGTTTCTCTTTCCAACAATTTTTCAAAGTTTTTCATTCTGTTATGAGCACTGATTGTGAAAATGCTCTATGCTTTTTAATAACTAAGGAGAAAGCATACATGAATATCTTACTAAAATTTGTGGAAGCAATGTCTTCTTATTCTTTTGGCAATAAATATTCCTTTAGTAACACAAGTTATGCCATGATTAATAGATACATTATAGGAAACTAAAATAATCAGAACATAGAGAGAAATCATACCTTCTATCAATAGCTCTTGTCCATGACTGCCAAGAAGTGTACGAGATAGGAATGGGGCAAAGTCTACAAAAATTTCACGAAGAAGAGGAGCAACTTTTTCTAAAGCTCTTTCAAGTTTTGCAGTGATGCTGTTGAAATTAAGACATAAAGACTAGTAAATATGGTTCAATATAAAACGTCAAATAAATTTTACTTCTAAATTAAAACCTTTAAAAAAGTCACAAAAGTACAATTCTAACCCACTAAACAGTAACAGCTTCAAGTAGAAGGCACAATGTAGAGTTTTACATTAGTCACAAAGCTACTCAAAAGGCCATAGCTGTATCAGAATGGTTACACTGTGAAAAGGAGCCAGTGTCCTGCCACCCACAAGAGCACAGACACTGGCCACAACTGGAGGAGCTGCAAGAAAAGAAGCTGCTATAGGTCTTCTTTGTCTATCCTCCTTTTCACAAAAAAACCCTGTTCCGAATACCTACTATATGAGTCACTGTGAAAGTTACAAAGTATAAATTCTTGTTCTCAAGAGTTCCCTGAAAAGCTGGACAAATAAGGGAATAAATGGAATTCTGTATGACTGAGCTGAATTGCTTTGCCAAAGTAGGCATTTTCTATATCATAAGCCCACTCACTTTTTATTTACCAACCATTACATCATTATTTATATTGTTGAATATTAAATTTCAAGTTACATGGCCTTACATAAGCACTCTGATATTCTTGAAAGCACCTCGAGTAGGATATGTAAAAATAAAAACATGGATAAAGAAAATAATTCTGCTGAAAAAATAAATTCTGCTCAATAATTCTGCTCAAATAAATAATTTGGTTATATCTAAATCTCTCTCTTGGAAGTAAGTACTTTAGAGTAAGAGTGCTTGGATTGGAAGGTTGACTCCATGTATGCTACCCAGGTGACCCTGAGACATCAAGCTTTCTACATCTGCAAAATGAAGATGATAACTCTACTTACCCAATGAGAGTTAATGAGTTAAGGCATGTGAAGTGCACAAAAAAGAACCTGACATACAGTGAGAGGTCAACAATGATAGCTCTTCTAACTGTTACTTGGAATAAAACACACCTATACTTACTCATACAAAACGTGACTCATATATTTGAACCAAAACAAAATCAATATAGTAACCTTAGATAAGCACACACTCTTCTATATGGATGACATGTACAGTAAGGAATTAAACAATACTTCACAATAATAAGAGTTCTTCCACAGTGCTGAGTAATATTTTTGTTATATATGAGGAAACCATAAATGACAAAAAATTAATCACAAAAAAATGGGCAGCATATGATTAACATGTAAAACAAAACTTTTATTTTTTAAGTGAATAAAGAGGAATTATAGAATAATATAGGATAATAATAATAATAATAATATCCTATATAAAATAGGATAACACAGAATTATATAATAAAGGATACTTTCTCTCCTAACTTGGAATCAGCATGATCTGAACTCTCTCTTTGTGTACACAAAGCCTCACCATTAGCACTGCAATTTAATTTTGCCTCCTCTTATATGGGTCAACAGCTTTACATAAATAAGAACTCAGGTTTAATAACTTAAAGAGAATATCCTGGAGGAACATTTTTAGGCAAGAAAAAGGGAAATGGTGGGGCTTTGCAGACTAGCTAAAGATAAAGAGCTTTCAGTATTTACCCCTACTCTGTTACTCTAGGAGGAAATACCTATATTAGGGCAAGGGTTCTCAATTTCTCAATTTTTATTTAGTGTATTGCAGAAACATCACTAAGAATGGAAGTCATCTTTCCATGGCTAATTCATTTCAATGTATGACAAAAACCACTGCAATGATGTAAAGTAATTAGCCTCCAACTAATAAAAATAAATGAAAAAAATAAAAAAGAAAAAAAATAAAAAAAAAAAAAGAAAGAAAAACAGCACAGAAAGAAATGAAAGATACTGAACACTGTCTTCAAAGAATTAAAAGAAAATAGTTGCCAACCAAGAATCTGTTCTGGTTCAAAATATCTTTCAAAAATAGAGGTGAATTTCAAATATTTCTAGTTAAAAAAAAAAAAATGAAAGAATTCATGAGTGGTAGGCCTACACTAAATGAAACAAAAGGAGTATTCTTCAGGAAGAAAGAAAATGATAGCACACAGAAGTCAGACATTCAAAAAAAATGATGAGCAAAAAGAAACATAAACATTTGGGTAAATATAAATACATGTTGACCAATAAGACAGTAATTGTACTCTCTAGAGGCATTTAAAATTTAACATGCACACACAAAGGCATATATATGTATAAATGTGGTTACAAAATTTGGACTAAATGAAGTTAAGCTATACTGAGGTCCATGCATTGCCTGGGAAGAGGACTTAGATAATCAAGAATTAATGTTCCAATCTGGAGGATGAGCACTTAAAACACTGTTTCTCAAAGTGTATTCTCAGAGTCAGCAGCACCAAGATCACTTAGTGTAATGGGTAATTTTATGTGTCACCTTGACTGGACAACAGGGTGGCCAGATGTTTGACTAAATATTATTCTGGGTAAGGTCTGTTAGAGTATTTCTGGATTAGATGACAATTTGAATGGGTATACTGAGTAAAGCAGATTGTCCTCCCTAATGTGCCTGTGCCTCATTCATTCAATTGAATATGTAAATAGAACAAAAGGCTGGATAAGAGGGAACCCCTTTACCTGACAGCTGGTCTCTGCTGGCCTTCAGACTCAACTGAAACATCAACTCTTCTGGGGTTTTGAGCCTCTCAGCTTTCAGACTGGAACTTATACTATCAGGCCTTTAGACTTGAATTAGAACTACATAGTGGCTCAGCAGTGTGTTTTAACAAGCCTCCTATCTAACTGTTGCATACTGATGCTTAAGATCCATTGCACTAAGCAAAAGAAATAAGGTATAAACTCAACCTACAGTTTCTTGTTACTTCTCTATAGTGAACATTTCTTAATGACAATATGAATAAAACTGATTAATCACTGCCAAGACTTGGAAGGAAGGAAAGCAGAAAGCAAACTCATAATAAATATTAAGACTAAAAAGGAAGGACTTTCCTACAGACTACATGAATGTTAAAATAATAACAACAGAATATTGCAAACTATATTATAACAATAGAATCTAACAAAAGTCACACAAGACAAAAATAGAAAATCTGGGGATAACTGTAAAAATTTAATTTATAAACTTTTCCTCAAAAGGAAATCTAGATTCAGACATCTTTCTTTGTGAACTCTACCAAAGATTTTAGGAACAAACAAAACAAGACAAATTAAAAAAAAAATCATATGCAACCTCTTCAAAAGAAAACAGCTATATATAACATAAAAATATTGGATTTCTTTTAGGAAGTAAAGGTTTGCTTAACATTTTTTAAATTAAAAGTCATTATAATAGACCATATTAACAGAAAAAGGAGGAAAATCACATGGTCATCTCTATTACTCCCCTCCAAAAAGAGAAAACATGTAACACTCATAGTGATGGTGACTCAGTTAAACACAAGAGAATTATTATATTTGATAAAAAGTTTCTTTAGTAAATAGGAAACATCATTATTAATGATGACATATTCAAACTTTTCATTTGAGGTGAATAAAAGAATGTTCTAGTCACTTCTATAGAAAACTGTACTGGAGGTACTAGGTGATACTAAAAATAAGGAAAAAGAAATAAAAATGTGTAAGGATTTGTGTAATGGGGAATAAAACTGTCAATATTCAAAGACCAAATGACTGTGTACATATATGCTTAGTTAGAGATAATGATGGATAAACTAGAAAAAAATGAAGGTTTCATGATATTAACCCAATATATTGAAACAAATTATATATACTGGAAAACAGTTAAAATGAAATTTACACAATAAACAAATTTACATTAAAAATATCAAATTCCACTTTTCACCTTAAAGGGGTTAAAGCAGTCTACAATTACCTCCCATGCTAACAACTAGAAAATTTTACAAAATGCAGAGAACAACTATTTTCATACAAAATGCAGGGTATGAGACCATAAACCCTGAGGAAAAAGAAACAAATGACATGAGTCCCACCATCACTCAGATTTCCTACATGGAGGTATTTCAACAAGACTAAAACTGTAGTTCAAGGACAACAGACTATATTAGGACATAGCACCCACGAGGAAGGTGTCATGCAGAGAACAGTAATCTTTGGCTGAATAACAATCTCTGTATGTGATGTCTGAAAGCTCCCAACCTTAGAAGAGAACAACTTAGAAAGAACAATTATGGAAGAGACATAGCAGACATCTGCATCCCACACAGGGCCTAGAGACTTTGGTAGGCACACTGAGCATTTTGGAGAAATCCAGCATACTTTCTAAGTGTGGCAAAATTAGTCCAAGAATAAATGCCATCCTAGACATGGAAGGACAGTTTTTAGAACAAATAGTGCAACAAAAACTGGACACCTGGACATAGATCTCACCTCTTACATAAAATTCAGCTCAAAATGGGACCTCGACTTAAAACTAAAACTGTTACTTAAAGCACAGAACTTTATAGAATCTTTGGGAAAAAATCTCGGGACTTTGGGTGAGATGAAGATTTCTTAGACAGAACACCATGATAAACTAGATTATAATAAAAATTCAGTTTTCCTCTGCTACAAAGAACGTAAAAATAAGCTATAGTCTGAGAGCAAATACTTGGAAACAACATTTCTGAAAATGGACTTGTACTAAGAATACTTAATGCACAAGACTCAAAAGAGAAAAAGCAATCTAATTATAAAGTGGGCAAAAGACATAAACAGACATTTCACTGAAAAGGACATACTAATAGCAAATAAGCACACAAAAATATGTTCAGAATCATCCATTAGGAAAATTCAAATTAAGACCACAATGAGATATCCCTGTATACCTACCAAAATGGCCTACAGAAAAAAAAAAAGACAAAACCAAATGCTGATAAAAATGAGGAGAAACTGGACTATTTATACATTGCTTGTGGGAGTTTTTTAATAAACCTGAATAGGTACTTACCATATTAGCCCAGTAACCTCACTCTTGGGCACTAATTCCAGAGAAATGAAAATATATGTTCACATAAAAATAAAAAGGTTTATTGTTTTTTTTTGGTACTAGGCCAA